TGCATGCATCCTCTTTAAGTGTTACAACCTTTCACATAAAGATACCTTTTCAATTTGATGGTTATCTTTTATATGCTGATGCACTTATAACAATAGTTATTTCTATTGTTAATGAGTGCTCAGATATGTGAGAAAACACATCACAAATAGATACAATGGTTCGAGACCTTTTCAGATCACTAAAACATACAAACACATTTTCCGTCGAAGATTTGCGCTGCAGCGCACGCTGCTGTGCGCTGCAGTGCGCATGCCTAGCAAAACAGACCCGAGGGTCTGTTTTGCGCAGGCTGCAGCGCCTAAACGCGCGCTGCAGCGCGCCCGTGCGCTGCAGCGCACGCTGCTGTGCGCTGCGCGCAGGCTGCAGCGCCCAAACGCGCTGCAGCGCGTCTGTGCGCTGCAGCGCGCACTCTTTCGCGCTGCAGCGCGTGCTTGCGTCAGCCTACTCTTCCTGAATGTGTTTTAATCCAATTTTGTGATATCAAGATTGAGAGATATTTTACAATCTCTCTAACAGAACAACACCGGCACGTAAAACATAATAGCGTTGATCTCCGTGAGCTGCTAAAAGAAGGAAATCAGGACAACCATACTCAAGTATGGTCTGTATTTCCTCTTGAACAACTTCTTACAATGGTGCTTTACCCGCTTAGAGGCTTCACTGGCAGCGATGAGATCATTAAACTCTTCGTCGATGTTGTCGACACCGCGAATCCTCCGTAATTTGGACCGCGCCTCATCATGTTTACCACGCTCAATCATCGAACTGGGTGCGTCCGGGAGAAGCAATGACCCAATTGTAATGACAAGGGCAGGGATCATTGCTCCTCCCAAACTCAACCGCCATCCCTAATCGCCTTTGATTTTGTTGAAGACAAAGTTCAATACGGTTGGCTAGGAGGATTCCAATAGTAATGTAAAGCTGAAAACATATATTAAATGCTCCTATGTACTTGTATGGTGCAATCTCACACAAGTAAAGTGGCACGGACTGTAAATATATAAAGATAACAGTAAGAAACTAAGAAGTGGTAGTGTTAATTAACGTGGTGATAATTAGATTGAAAGTTGAAAAAAAAGGTTAATTAATTAGAGGACTACACGAGTGGGACACACTATCATGTGTCTTATAAATACACTATTTGAATTCCACGTTTTATAAATTTTAATTATCGAGTGATTATTAAAAACACATAACAAAACGGCAACACAACAACAAAGAAACTAAATGACAAATCATTTATCAAGGGAACGACAATTATTATATATAAAAATATAGTGGAAAAAGAACTTATAACAACAAGTCAAGCTACTCCTTTACGCCCTCATATTTTGTAGTATAAATAATACTGATTAGTGAAATTGATACCAAAACCAAGCAACATCCGGCCCATGATCAGCATAGAGACGTTTTGGGTGAAGCATTGAGGTTGGCCCTGACGCAGAAGAGGACACCTCGGGAAAACATGGATAGTTCCAACCAAACCTATGCATAGAGGAAAAAAAAAGTTCTCAGCAGAAAAGAAAAAAAATCTATTTGCATGACAGAATGATACAAAAGCGTTTGAGGAATTACCTTCTGAAGAAATGATACAGGGCTGGGCTAGCCCATTTGAGGTGCATCAACATTTTCTACATTTACAACATGGTTTGGAATAAAGTGGAGAAAAAAAAAAAACATGGAGATTTTATGGGCCTAAATGGGCAGGGCTGGGCTAGCCCATGTTAGGCCTAGACGGGCCGGGCTGGGCCGGCCCATCATAGGCCTAGTCGGGCAGGCCCAGCCTGGTATGGCCCACGATTGTTTCATGGATCGTGCCAGGCCGGCCCACGGGCCTTACCAGGCCGGCCCATGGGCCGATATATGTTGGCCTTGTCAAATCCACTAATATTTATAGGCTGGGTCGTGCCTTGAACAGTGACGGGCCGTGCCGACCTGGCCCGTCACTGTGTCAGGATGGGCCTGGGCCGGCCCACGGGCCCCAGCCTATTGTTGCATCTTTACTTGAGCGAAAAAGTAAGATGGTATCTACAAAAACAAAAATTTAAACGTTAAAATAAAAAGAAAAGTGAAGATATCACAAATTAGTCGTTCAAAAAAATATAAACTAAGCTTCTACTATTAATCAATGAATTAGTCAAAAGAAAAATACACTAATTAATCCAAATACTATGAGCAACGGAGTTGAGGTTCCAAGAAAATTCCATGTGCATTTTAGGGGGAATCCTAGGCAAAGTTTGGTCCAAGACTCTCGCACCAGCCAATGAAAATGTAGTTTATTTATTATTATTATTACTTTATAAAAGAAAGTTTATTGGATTAAGCCATAAAGACAGGCTCAGCAGCCACAATATTCTAATAAAATATGGGACCTCATCAGACCAAAATTCATCAAAAATAAAAGAAATATCACTGCGAGCTAACGTAAATTATAGTCTATTTTACCTATTTGTATGAGAATCTCTTAGTAATAGCAAAAGCAATGGTGACCACGAGATTAAAATGCGCTTCGGAGATGTGGCCAACAGAGTAGATCATGAACATCACAATCAAGCCCCAAGTAATGTAAATCCCAGGAAAAGTCACCACTTTATCAAAGTGCAAATTCACAGCCACAGAAGCACAAGCTGTAAATATAACGAAATATGTGGCCAATACCTCAGCAATCAGCTGTCGTAAAAGAATAGGAAAAAAAATTTCTCAGCAAAAAAGAAAAAAAAACATTTGCATGACAGAATGACACAAAAGCGTTTGAGGAACTACCTTCTGAACAAATGGTATAGAGACACAAAACTTTAGAGATTGACTTGGAGAACTCATTTGCGGTGCATCGATATTTTCTAAATTTACAACATGGTTTGGACTAAAGTAGAGAAAAAAAATGTGAAGATTTTATGGGCCTAGATGGGCTAGGCTGGGCTGTCCCATGTTGGGCCTAGACGAGCTGGGCTAGACCGGCCCATCATAGGCCTAGTCGGGCAGACCCAGCTTGGTTTGGCCCATGATTTTTCATGGGTCGTGCCAGGCCGGCCCATGGGCCGATATATGTTAGCCTAGCCCAATCCACTAATATTTATAGGCTGGACCGTGCCTTAAACAGTGACGGGCCGCGTCGGGCTAGCCCGTAACTGTGTCAGGATGGGCCTGAGCCGGCCCACGAGTCCCGGCCCATTGTTGTATCTCTACTTGAGCAGCAATGTAAGCTCGTATCTACAAAAACAAAAATTTAAAATTTAAAATAAAAAGAGAAGTGAACATATCACAAATTAACCGTTCACAAAAAATATAAACTAAGCTTCTACTATTAATCAATGAATTAGTCAAAAGGAAAATACACCAATTAATCCAAATACTATGAGCAACGGAGTCGAGGTTCCATGAAAATTCCACAAGCATTTCAGGGGGAATCCTAGGCAAAGTTTGGTCCAAGACACTCGCACCAGCTAATGAAATTATAGTTTATTTATTATTATTATTATATAAAAGAAACTTTATTAGATTAAGCCATAAAGACTGGCTTAGCAGCCACAATCTCTGAATAGAACATGGGACCTCATCAAACCAGAATTGGTCAAAACAAAAGAAACAACACTGCGAGCCAACGTAAATTATGGTTTATTTTACCCGTTTGTATGAGAATCTCTTAGTAATAGCAAAAGCAATGGTGACCACGGGATTGAAATGCGCTCCAGAGATGTAGCCAATAGAGTAGATCATGACCATCACAATCAATCCCTAAGTAATGCAAATCTCAAGAAAAGTCACCACTTTATCAAAGTCTAAATTCACAGCCAGAGAAGCACAACCAATAAATATAACGAAATATGTGCCCAATACCTCGGCAATCAGTTGTAGTAAAAGAAGAGAAAAAAAAAGTTCTCAGCAAAAACGTAAAAAAAAAAAAAAAAACATTTGCTTGACTGAATGATACAAAAGCGTTTGAGGAATTACCTTCTGAAAGAATGGTACATAGACACAAATCTTTAAAGATTGACCGGGAGAACTCATTTGAGGTGCATCGACATTTTCTACATTTACAACATGGTTTGGACTAAAGTAGAGAAAAAAAACACGAGGATTTTATGGGCCTAGATGGGCCAGGCTGGACAGGCCTATCATGAGCCTAGACGGGCAGTTTCAGCCTGGTCTGGCCCATGACTTTTCATGAGTCGTGCCAGGCCGGCCTATTAGCCGATATATGTAGGCCTAGCCCAATCCACTAATCTTTATAGGTTGGGTCGTGCCTTGAACAGTGACGGTCCATGCCGGCCCAACCCGTAACTGTGTCAAGATGGGCCTGAGACGGCCCACGGGTCTCAGCCCGTTGCTGCATCTCTACTTGAGCGACAATGTAAGCTGGTATCTACAAAAACAAAAATTTCAAATTTCAAGTAAAAAGATAAGTGAACATATCACAAATTAACAGTTCAAAAAAAATATAAACTAAGCTTCTACTATTAAGCAATGAATTAGTCAAAAGGAAAATACACTAATTAATCCAAATACTATGAGCAACGTTGTTAAGGTTCCATGAAAATTTCACAAGCATTTCAGGGGGGATCCTAGGCAAGGTTTAGTCTAAGACTCTCGCACCGGCCAATGAAATTGTAGTTTATTTATTATTATTATTATTTTATAAAAGAAACTTTATTAGAATAAGCCATAAAGACTCGCTCAGCAGCCACAATCTCTGAATAAAACATGGGACCTCATCAAACTAGAATTGGTCAAAAATAAAAGAAATAACACTGTGAGCTAACATAAATTATGCTTTATTTTGCCTGTTTGTATGGGAATCTCTTAGTAATAGCAAAAGCAATGGTGACCATGGAATTGAAATGAGCTCCGGAGATGTGGCCAACAGAGCAGATCATGACCATCACAATCAATCCCCAAGTAATGCAAATCCCAAGGAAAGTCACCACTTTATCAAAGTCTCAATTCACAGCCACAGAAGCACAACTAGCAAATATAACGAAATATGTGGCCAATACCTCGGCAATCAGCTGTAGTAAAAGAAGAGGAAAAAAAAAGTTCTCAGCAAAAAAGAAAAAAATATATTTGCATGACAGAATGATACAAAAGCGTTTAAGGAATTGCATTTTGAAGAAATGATACAGAGACACAAATCTTTGGAGATTGACCAGGAGAAGTCATTTGAGGTGCATCGACATTTTCTACATTTAACACATGGTTTGGACTAAAGTAGAGAAAAAAATGTGAAGATTTTATGGGCCTAGATGGGCCAGGCTGGGCTGGGCCGGCCCATCATAGGCCTAGTCGGGCAGGCCCAACCTGGTCTGGCCCACGATTTTTCATGGGTCGTGTCAGGCCGGCCCATGGACTGATATATGTTAGCCTAGCCTAATCCACTAATATTTATAGGTTGGGCCGTCCCTTAAATAGTGACTGGTCGTGCCAGCCCGGCCCGTAATTGTGACAGGATGGGCATGGGCAGGCCCACAGGACCCGGCCCATTGTTGCATATCTACTTGAGCGACAATGTAAGCTGGTATCTACAACAACAAAAATTTAAAATTTAAAATAAAAAGAGAAGTAACAGTTCAAAAAAAAATATAAACTAAGCTTCTATTATTAATCAATGAATTAGTCCAAAGGAAAATACACTAATTAATTCAAATACTATGAGCAACGGAGTTGAGGTTCCATGAAAATTCCACAAGCATTTCAGGGGAAATCCTAGGCAAAGTTTGGTCCAAGACACTCGCACCAGCCAATGAAATTGTAGTTCATTTATTATTATTATTTTATAAAAGAAACTTTATTAGGTTAAGCCGTAAAGACTGGCTCAGCAGCCACAATCTCCGAATAGAACATGGGACCTCATCAAACCAAAATTGGTCGAAAACAAAAGAAATAACACTGCGAGCCAACGTAAATTATGGTTTATTTTACCTGTTTGTATGGGAATCTCTTAGTAATCGCAAAAGCAATGGTGACCATGGGATTAAAATGCGCTCTAGAGATGTAGCCAACAGAGTAGATCATGACCATCACAATCAATCCCCAAGCAATGCAAATCCCCAGAAAAGTCACCATTTCATCAAAGTCCCAATTCATAGCCACAGAAGCACAACCAACAAATATAATGAAATATGTACCCAATACCTCAGCAATCAGCTGTAGTAAAAGAAGTGGGAAAAAAAGGTTCTCAGCAAAAAAGAAAAAATATATATTTGCATGACAGAAGAATGATACAAAAGCGTTTGAGGAATTACCTTCTAAAGAAATGGTACGGAGACACAAATATTTGGAGATTGACCCAGAGAACTCATTTTAGGTGCATCGACATTTTCTACATTTACAACATGGTTTTGACCAGAGAGAGATAGAAAACTTTAGGAATCGGACAAGGATTAAGAACACTATAAATGGATCGATATTTGAAAGCAAGTAATAAGAGGATAATGAAACACGGCAGATATATTGTACTGATTTGACTTCTAAATTACAAAAGAAGCAAATAGGAAACATCCTAGGACAATGAAATAACACATAAAATAGGTAAATTTAAAGCACGTCTTATGTCATAAATAAATAAAAAATACGCATCAACATGCGTTCAATTTTTTTTAAAAATAAATAAATAAGAAATGCAAAACTAAAAAACAAAAGAAATGATCAAAAAGAAATTATAGAATTTAATTCAAAAAATTTGACCATGCAATAAAACTAATTTACAAAGACTAAGGATGTTTACAAGTAAAATGGCTAGTAAATTTAATTGTTCATTGAAAACTTAAAAGAAATTAATATCGTCAATTCCTAATTTATAGGTATAGTTTGGTTGTTTTTATCAAGTATATGCAATTAATATGCATGTAATTACTAATAAAAAGATATTAGTATTACACACATTAATTACGTTATAATTGGTGTGTGTATATTTGGTAACAGTTGTAATTCATACATTATTATTCATATAAAACCACTCAATCTCGAGATCCTTAGCATATTGATATTATAAAGATAAGGATCACTCTTTTCTTAGTTGTCCAGGGTGTATCTCAGTAATATTTTCTACTCATTTAATGCCAAAAGATCGAAATTGAAATAAAAAGAACCATGTGTATATATTCTATATATAATAAAATCTTTTTCTACCAAAAAAAAAAATAGTCAATTCTTTTTAAGGGAATACTTTGTACAAGTGTTAAGTACCATGATTTTTTTTTTTAATGAAAATCGGAAAAAGTTCCACGATTTTTTCTTTTTCTTTTTTTTTTTTTTTAAGGAAAAGACTGGTTTTTATCTAATGAATAGTTGCTATATCAGCACATACAAAAGCACCAAGAAAACTTGGACAAGAGTCTAGCCAATACATATTAAAAGAAACAGAAAAACCCTGAGAAGCTAGTATGTGGTCTACGAAATTAGCCATTAGCCACAAGAAGTTAAGGAAATACCATGTTGATGTCACCAATAATGCTCGAGTCTGGTGATCTAGAAAATGGGTCTTTGGATGGCTCTAACAACATTAAGCACGTCTGACTCAACTACCCATCTAGTATAGCTTGTTGTTGAGCAAACAAGATATCCGACTTTCTCCCCGAGCTTCAACATCACACCTTGCCCGATGGATCACATTTTTAAAATAATGGTTAGTTAACCATAAAGCTTAAACACAAAACGATGCCCACTACGATGATCATTAGCCTCCAATTATGTCGACTCAAATTTGGAAATCCCTATTGGAAACACAACAGTTTGGAAATTTCGTCTTCAAATCGAGCTTTGCAAGACAACCATCGAGGACCTCTTGAATATATTACCAAGAGGATTGTGGCGATTATTCCATG